GCTCTTCCGCATCAAGGCCGCTTCGACGAGTCGCAGGAGCAGCTCGACTCAGTGCGCCGCGAGAACAAGAACCTCGCCGACGAGATCAAGGTAAGATTCACCGACAGGCATAGCCTTTTTGGCGGGTCACGGTTAGGGGACGATATGGCAGTTGTTTGATTTAGATGACCGTGATGTTGACCTTTGGAAACCATTCTGATACCTAATTGGTGTAACAGTATATGTCATGATGTATCGTATTCCGATGAAATGCATTACCAGGATAGGTGCAGTAGATGGTCGATAACAAGACAAAGTTAACACACAGCGGAACGAAACGAAACCGGGCAAAACAAATCCCAGCTCTGTCTCACCAGTGTCCGTAACGTCGATGTCTGCTTTCTCCGCAGGATCTCATGGACCAGATCGGCGAGGGTGGCCGCAACGTGCACGAGATCGAGAAGTCGCGCAAGCGGCTCGAGGTCGAGAAGGAGGAGCTGCAGGCCGCCCTGGAGGAGGCCGAGAGCGCCCTGGAGCAGGAGGAGAACAAGGTGCTGCGCGGCCAGCTGGAGCTCAGCCAGGTGCGCCAGGAGATCGACCGCCGCATCCAGGAGAAGGAGGAGGAGTTCGAGAACACTCGGTGAGTGGGCGAGGGAGGAAAAGTGCGGTAACGTGTTTGCATTGCTATTCTACGTTGTCCTTCGTGGGAGCTATTGGCAAATAACTAAGCGAAACTGTGAAAGGATTTATCTCCTATGGCTATTTCATTGTGAATGGCATTCACTCCATTGAACTCATCTTATTCTAAGCATGCTATTGGTGGTGCATCTGAAACCATGACTTATTATTGAATGCTGCGGCTAAGTGACCAGTCAGGAGAAGGAACGTGAACAAAACCAATCACTCGGCCATAGCGCAAATCTAGCCATACGAGGTGTGGCTAAAAAGAAACCGGACTGCTCGTGCTGGCCATAAACTAGGGGACCCGAAGACTAGCGAGACACTTGGCATTAATCTTTAGCATATTGTCGTGATGTGTGCCAAACGGCATCTCGATATCCCAATTATTCTCCTTTCCACAGCTCTTTGTTTTATCGATGTTCGGCGGCCTTGTCATCGCCAGGCTTCTACAATGAGCTTCGAAAAAAAGAGGGAGCATCACGTTCCTTGCCAGACTGGAGAAAGTCCAACAGAGACGCTGAATCTGTTCAAGGCTGTTAATGCGGAGCAAGTCATGTGTAATATGCAAGTGTTTGAATGGCATAAGAGGTTCAGCACTGGTCGAGAGGATGTCGGTGATGACCCCAAGGTCTGGAGGTCCAACGTCCGTGTGCATGTCGAAGTCGAGAATGGAGATGACATTGATCGTCTTTTTCGATCATAGGGGATTAGTTCACCGCCAGTTCGTGCTGGAGGTGTACCACAGTCGACCAGCCACTTCTACAAGGAAGACCTGGGACGCCTCATGTCACGAGTCAGGCGCACCAAGTGGAGTTTCTGGGAAACCAAGAACTGGGTGCTCCATCACGACAACGCTCCCGCGCATTCTGCCATTAGCGTCCAGCAGTTCGTTGCCGAAAAGCAGTTCGCGGTGCTCAAGCACCCTCCTATTTGCCAAACCTCCCTCCCTGTGACTTTTGGCTGTTCCCTGAAATGAAAAACGTCGTCAAGGAAACCCATTTTGAATCAGTCGAGGACATCCAGACCGGAGTGACCAGCGTCAGCGTCATCAATAAAACAAGAGCTGTGGAAAGGAGAATAATAGCGATATCGAGGTGCTGTATGGCACACATCACGACAATATGATAAAGATTAATGTCCAGTGTCTCGCTAGTTTTCGGGCCCCCTACTTTATGGTCAGCACGAGCAGTCCGGTTTCTTTTTAGCCACACCTCGTATGCCTCATGCTTGCGAAATCCCCCCTTCACAACACTCGCCTATTTCGTCACCACCACTAACGGTCGCCTCTCTTCTACCCCACAGCAAGAACCACCAGCGCGCCCTGGACTCGATGCAGGCGTCGCTCGAGGCCGAGGCCAAGGGCCGCGCCGAGGCCATGCGCATGAAGAAGAAGCTCGAGTCGGACATCAACGAGCTCGAGATCGCGCTCGACCACGCCAACAAGGCAAACGCCGAGGCGCAGAAGACCATCAAGCGCTACCAGAACGAGATCAAGGAGACCCAGGCGCGCCTGGAGGAGGAGCAGCGCGCGCGCGACGATGTCCGCGAACAGCTGGGCATCTCGGAGCGTCGTGCCAACGCCCTGCACGGAGAGCTGGAAGAGAGCCGCACCCTGCTGGAGCAGGCCGACCGCGGCCGCCGCCAGGTCAGCGACAACTCCCGGAGGCGTACTACAAATAACATAGGCTCAGCTTATTGTATATCAAGTAAATGTGATTCGTAGCATTGCTGAATCACTGTCTATGGAGATGAATAACTGGATCTACAACTACAAGAAACCACACAGCTCAATGCATCACAGGGTGGGGAAATGGTGTCAGTGTGCTAAGCTCTTTGATGTTTGAAGCGCGCACAAGCATCTCGGTGCGCAGTATGACACATCTACTTCCTGTGAGTGTTCCTTGTCGAAGATCTCCTCACCCCATCAACTCCCACTGACTTTCCTCCACCTTCGCAGGCCGAGGCTGAGCTGGCCGACAACCACGAGACCCTGGCTGACGCCCAGGCCAACTTCGCCGCCGCCTCCATGGCCAAGAGGAAGCTGGAGGGCGAGGTGCAGTCACTGCACGCCGACCTCGACGAGATGCTCAACGAGGCCAAGAACTCCGAGGAGAAGGCCAAGAAGGCCATGGTCGACGCCGCCAGGTGAGCGTTAGCAAAGGACAGCCAGCAGAATATTGGCACAACCTTTAGGCTTCCACGTCATCTTATCATTTGGCTACTTTCACACTTTGTACCATTCAAGCATCCAGGCATCGGACATGCATTTGACATGCTCCAAAGCGTGGACTAATATTTTCACTGTGCACTATTTAGCCCTGAACTTTGCATACCCTATCCAGTATCCATGCCACACCCTCACAGTGCTGACCCACCTCGTTCGATCCGCAGGCTGGCCGACGAGCTCCGGGCTGAGCAGGAGCACGCCCAGACTCAGGAGAAGATGCGCAAGGCCCTCGAGGTCCAGGTCAAGGATCTGCAGGTACGTCACAGTATGGTTACCACCATGTTACATCGCACTGAGATCAACATCGCCAATGTCATCGAATAATCAATCCAAAGTTGTTGTTTTTAAGGCAGCCTACGGCATTTGGCATGGCTACTCAGCACTTGTAGGGTTGATGCCAAATGTCTTACCACCCACCTTCGTCGTCCACAGGTCCGGGTTGACGAGGCCGAGCAGAACGCGATGAAGACCAGCCGCAAGATGATCCAGAAGCTCGAGGAGCGCGTGCGCACCGTCGAACAGGAGCTGGATAGCGAGCAGCGCCGCCACAGCGAGGCCCAGAAGAACCTGCGCAAGACTGAGAGGCGCATCAAGGAGCTCAGCTTCCAGGTCAGTGGCTGATGTGGCTTTGGGGTCGATTGGGGCAGGTGGTGAAAGGTCAGTGGGTTTCCTGGGGTGAAATAGGATGGGAAAAGCGGCGGTATTGTTAGATTGCTATGAGATTATCTCAAAACAAAACCGTGGGAAGAGACCCACATCACTGTCATGACAATCACCTGACGTCGCGGTGCACTTCCACAGGCCGATGAGGACAAGAAGAACCACGAGCGCATGCAGGACCTGGTCGACAAGCTGCAGCAGAAGATCAAGACCTACAAGCGCCAGATCGAGGAGGCTGAGGAGATTGCCGCGCTCAACCTGGCCAAGTTCAGGAAGGCGCAGCAGGTCAGTATAAGGCATCAGCTTGTCTAGCTACAAGCAGGTGAAGTGTGAGAGCCTAAAACATCAGAGTCGTGAAGGAATTCCAACAGATCATGGATAGGCTGGGCACTGACCTGAACGTGTTGAAGAAGTTACAGTAAATAACTGTAACGCGGGAGCTAGCTGAACTTTTTGGTCACTCATGATGGGTCAGCTGAAATCGAAAGGTTGAAGCGATTCCCCGCTAGGTACCCGTGTGTAAAGACTCCCTGGCGGTCTCTTTCTTCCGTTGGACACCTGAACTCACCACCACTGTCTGTCTTTCTGAAGCTGACGATGCCCTTTCTCGCGTTCCACAGGAGCTGGAGGAGTCGGAGGAGCGCTGTGACCTGGCCGAGCAGACGCTGGCCAAGTTCCGCGCTCGTGGACGTGGCGCCTCCGCCGTCCGTGGTGCCAGCCCGGTACGTCTACGTCTTCCACTTTCCAAAGACTGGAGCTGCTAACGCTGCAGATCCCTTATGTTCATTAATCAAGCTTTCGCTGTACGGAGTTCTGGGTTCATTGAAACTGTTGACGCCCACATAACGCAGCATAATATGTTGCATTTATACCGACGAGAATATGAACTTGGGATGCCATATCTAACAACCCCACGTCATTAAAACGTCTATGAATTATAACCCATTCTCTCCTTTGCAGATGATGTAAACGACATACGTTGACTCAAGACAAAACTTTCCATCGTGACTGGTAAGTGTCATGCCATTCTTACGCTTTTTCACGCACATCTATGAGCATGAGATCCATGATCAGAAATCAAAATGAATCTCAACAACATGAGTATTGCCTTGACTGTTTCAATATTGTCTCTTTCGGCTGGTACTGTCAGATACAGGATGTAATGTGTTAGGCTAGGGTCTAATGATCGTTTCTCGCTGTTTCAGGCCAGCGGCAAGCCCCCGTCCGGTCTGGCCAGCATGACTCGCGACATCTATTGACGACATGACAAGTGACAGCTTTGCGAGTCGCCGCCGGTAGCGCCACCAGCTACCGGCGGCGAGCCGCGCGCCCAGACAGACTGAACGAGTGAGTGAGGCGACACGCGCGGCTAAATGTCGGCGCCCATCCGCACAAGATGGCGGTCGTGACGTCACGGCGCGTGCGGCGCCCGAGCCCCTGGCCTGCGCCGTAATATGGCGGACAACATGGCGGCGGCGCAGTGTCGGGCGGAGTCGGCGTCGTGCGTTGCCATGGCGACGCGTATGCCCGCTAGTGTTTCTGTGGCGACCTTTCTACTGAACTGTGTTCCCATAAGCATGATACGAAAAGGTGCAGGTAATAAATAGCCGACAAACCTACTTCGAGTTTTAGTGACGAGAGATCTAGGTATAGGTAGTCTGTACGGGATTTTGAGAGGCAAAAACACAGCCCTAGCGTATGGGTACCGAGTAGTATCAAGGGTGGAACGTCTAGTCACCGCATCCGGTGTGATAGCCGTTCCAGAATCTGTTGAGGACAGAGGATATTAGTGATTCCGATGTGGACTCAAGTAAGGGAATCACCACCCACAACCCACCGGATAACATCGACCATAACTTCCATCCGGGGAAAGAGAGTTAGGGGAGAGTGGGGAAAGATGCCCAGGGTTTTGCTATGTCATATATTATTCGAAAATGACGATCGGAAAGCAAAAACTTGGAGTTTCAACGGAAGCCGACATCATTTTTCTCCAAAAATATCACACTTTCGTGCCTGAAATATGATAACTTTTTTTGCTATTAAGCATTTTCCCGAAGAAGTGAAAGGGGGCATCTTACCCCACAGGGTGGGAAAGACGCCCCCTGGCGTTGGGAAAGATGCCCCCCTACACTATAAGTGACATAAATGGGCACGTGAATCGCCTGAACGAATCAGTAGTCCCTTCGAGCCTGCAGTAGACACCAAACGTCATCGTAAGGGCCCTCAAAAGTAGTCGTAAGGGGCTTCAGAGGTCATCGTTAGGGCCATCATAGTCCAACGCGGCCAAACAAGCCTCCGTGGTGGCGTTCGGAGACCACTGTGGGGCCCTTATAGGTCTTAATGATGCTTGAGGGCCCTCGAGCCCATCGTGGGGACCTTAGATGCCAGCGCGGCCCGTGGAGCCAACGTGAGAGCCCTCAAAGGATGTCGTGAGGGGCCCTGGAGCCAATAATGGGGCCCACAGAGGCCGTCGTGAGGGCTCTCAGAGTCAGATGCCGCCCAAAAAGTCGCTGTGTGGGCCGAGAGACCGGCATGGGGAGCACCCGACCGTACTGGACTCTCAATAGTCCCAGATCGGCTTTTGTCTCTCATCACAAGTATGTAATAAATGATTTGACGGGCTGTTTGAAGGACAGCCTACGGATTTAGGGGGGGCGTCTTTCCCCATCAGGACAGGGGGCATCTTACCCCAAGGTACCAAAGTAACATTAAATCAGCACAATTTGTTAGCCATAAAACTACACCCTGAAACAAACTGTTTGGGACACAGTACACGCATGTTAATGTATCACGACTATAGCAAAGGACGCAAAAATTATCTACCATTCTTTGATATTTACAATGTTTTGACACCAAAATATTTTTTGAAAGCAGCAAATAAAAAACATGCAATCACCAGCCAGCCGTTGCCCAACTGAGCTTCGCAAATTTGTGTGCAGTTAACAAGGCAGGCTTCCGCTTTACGCTAAGAACATTAATTTCCAGATTCGATTCTTTGTTTCGCCGCTAGAGGGGGTGGGGCGTCTTTCCCACCCTGGGCATCTTACCCCACTCTCCCCTATCAGAGCATTGTGGTCCGTCGCGATACCAAACGCAGGCGGCTGCGGTTGAGCCACCGCCCGACCGAGCCTCAAACGATTGTAGTTGGGGAATGCCATGATAGAGCAAAGAAGGCAAAAAGCGTCAGTAAGCCCCAGGGGCGCCTAAAGCCACGCGCGAAAAGTCACAGGAGGAGAATTTGACGGCATTGCGAGTGTTCGTAGTTCTTGAACCGCAAATTCACCGCCCTAGCGCACAGGCTTGGCCGCTTGGCTGGAAAGATCGCAACAGACGGCGGGGTCAAGGTCACGCGCACAGTGGCGAAGGAACACCCACACCCACACCACGGTGCCCGAACACCCACAGTTCCTCACAATTCTTCACTATGGAGACATTGATAGGGGTAGCCGGTAGGGGAGAGCAGCATGAGCCTGGGCGTGGTCTGTCGTACTCGTCACCTCGGCAGTGGGTATGTCGGAAGGTAGGTTCAGTGGCGGCGGAACACCTTCAAATAAGGGGGGAGGGGGCACTGCCGACTTTTGGTCCCATTCTTTCCATGCAACGCCCATAGGGCTGATGTTAAAATGCCAAAATCAAAGGGGGATACGGTGCCCCCGTTCCGCCGCCTATGCCATGAGCATGCGCAGTAGGCAATAGGCATCATTGGGCGGAGCAGACGGCGTCACGGCAGAATGTTTTGCCGCAGAATCGCACGACGGGTGCTCGTGATTCCGATTGTTTTTGTTTTGTTACTCAATGCGGCGCACCAAGCAATTGAATTGTGGTGTGTTCTTTCCTTGCGGGGATGTCGTCAGAGATGTTATTTTGCGTGAATTGGTGAGTTGCCGCCCCAGTAGGTATAATACCCATTTAATGAACACATTATTGTGTATTATTTCAGTGGCATTCGTGTGAAATCGTTTTGCATCGATGGTAAGCGATTGCCGAATTTCGCTGCTAGGCAGATTATTGCGTCGGAGTGTTTCACAAAATATTATACAGGTGGGTCCCATTTGTAGTATTTATCGCCTTGATTCTGCCATTCTAGGCGGCCGTGCAGCGTCACCAGAGAGGCGATGTCACACCTAGCAGATATATTCTTCCGGATGTGAAACAGGGCCCTGAAGTAGGCAGTGACGAATGCGGTTAGTGATGATCGGTGGGTGGAGTGCCGAGTGGTGACTGGTGAGCACCTACTAGACCTAGGGTTGAATTGGAAAAAACTGTAGGGGGGGGGGTGTAAATTCGCCCCTCCACTGCAGCCCTCGGCATGGCAAAATAATGTTTCCCCGGAGCGGTCGTGGCCGAGTGGTTAAGGCGTCTGACTAGAAATCAGATTCCCTCTGGGAGCGTAGGTTCGAGTCCTACCGACCGCGTCATCTTTACTCGCAGCTGCGATGAAACACTTTTAAATCAGCACAATGTTCCCCGAAGTCCGAACCACCCATCCACTCGCATCATCGCATCGTGTTGAGTGAAGCGTCTAAGGACGTTCAACCAAGAACCCCGCAAGGACGCCCGAGGCCTAGCGAGTCACATTCTTTCGATCTTCACAGCATTGATTGCCATCTGTTTGCCTCTGGGTCTCACTCCCATCCCACGGCACGCCGCTACCAGGAGCTAGTGCTTCGGCTACAGTGGAAATCTAAGCAGTTGCCAACTTTGTTTGTTTCCAAAGAGACCATAGCGGCAGCATCTCGTAGCGGCGTGCAGACTCTTCATCAATACACTAGACACCAGCCAAACTTATTACGCCCTATGTCTCTCACATAAAGGCTTAGCTAGCAATGGAGCTAATAAGCCAGTAACAAAATATGTAAATCCTTCATCTCTCACTAATAAAGGTTGTGCAGCAAAGGAGCTAGTAGCAAAATGAAATATATGAAATCACACGTAAATCAATTTCACAACTTTATTTGCCTACAAAATATGTGACAATAAATCACTTAGGTGTGGAGGACGTCCTATAGATGGTCGTAGAACACGTATATTCCAAAATTAGTACATCAACATCTTATTTTCTCCCTATACCCAACCAGGGATACACATGGGAAACACCAATGCTGCTCATGGGTTACAATATCGCAAAAGCTTCGCGTCCTCTCAAAAGCATAGACCGTATGTACAGAGAAAGCCCTAGCCGACACTAACACCAAAAGTTCTCAAAAGCACAACCAGTCACCGGTTATACACATTACACAGAGCATACAGGCCAGACTCTACACATGAGCTACTATGGCGGGGAACGACTGACACAGGTCACCGACCGGTGCTGCCATCTAGGCCGCCTTTTTCTTGACAATCAGCGGGCCAACGTTGTCGCCTGTCTCTTTGTTGTGCTTGTTGTGGCTTCCGTCGCAGTAGGGGAACTGAGGAAACACGATAGGCCGGTTAGCATGGCTTGTATCGGTACAACAGCACACATCCTGTCAGCGTGGTGAAGCAGTCATAGCGCCAGGGGATGGGAAGACACGCTAGCATGCATCAACCGACCAGGAGTATGACGAAAAGTATGCTTCTACGTAAATCAGAAGCAATTTGTCCAGGAGCTTAATTCGCCCACATCAGGTTGACCATTTACTTTACCTCACACATACATTTGCCAACGAACTTGGTGAAATCAAGTGGATTTCACTCACAGTTGCGAGAGCTCAAAAGAACCATAAACCACACGCAGTCATCGGAACATAATAAAGGGTAAAATTGCACGTACGTTAACCACATTCCCTATCCTATACAAAAGGTTCAGTTTGATTACATAATAATGGCCTCATTCAGTAGGCACGCTCCAATGTCAGCTAAACCTGTATATCAACCACCACCTATTAACACTGTAAGAGTTCCAATGTGATCACATTTTCATATACTTTTGCGAAAAACAGTGTCATCCTTCACGTGGCCTAGAGGATAAGGCGTCCGTCTCCTTATTCGGTGGCAGCGAGCTCGCAGCCGGAGAGCCCCACGTCATTTGACCCATGTTTCTACATTCAGCCAGCTGGCTGCAAAGTGAAGGAGACACGCTGGACCCGGGAGGACCGTGTCGCCATCTACCTGTGGTACGTTTAACTCTCCGCCTAGCTTACCAGGGAACCGGGGTCCGGGCAAGACCCTATATACCGGTCCGGGAGCGGGCAAGGTCCGGTGGTGGGTCTGTGTCGTCGTGGGTCATTCGCGGCAACCACCGTTTAGTGTGTCTCCCGAGCCCACAGCCACCTATTCATCCATGAAACTAAATACCTTGAAAAATAAGATACCGCTCAGCCGCGGCCCTGACCTTTTTGCTCCTCCAGCAGCGGCAGAAGACGGCCTTGTCGCCAAGGTCCTCCATGTCGACGGAGTCGGCCACCTTCTCACACTCCTTCTTGTGACACAGGTTAACGCAGCCCTGGCGACGAGAGCCAGTACAAATCACAAACTTATCCATCTAGACTTGCGTGATGGGCGATTGACACAGATTAATGCAACCCTGGTAACAGGGGAGGTTACAAATGACAGACTTATGTATATCAACATGTGCAACTTTGGAATAGACCTGGGGAACTAGTCTTCCACTTCCAATTTGAATTAGCGCAGGATAATGCAGCTGGATAGGTACCAAGCACAAATAATTGTGCTGACAGTTCTAAAACCTGACATCAGCATAGTTATTACCAACCATAAAATTCATGAGGACATAAATAACATTTCTAAGGCTTCTGAATCAAGTTTTAATCATTTATAACAACTCATTGCCTGTTGGACAATTTTTTTTTTTCAACTGAAGCTAATCTATCCCACAACTCAAAATTTTCCAGAGATTTCAGTTTAAACACTACCACATATCAACAGCTATGTAATGGACAACAGAACACAATTTCAACTGTCAACACTCAACACTTACCGCGGCAAGAGGACACAACTTGTTGTAGAGCACCACAGCAATGCCGCCGCAGGCCAGACCAAAGGGCACAAGTGCAGCCCAATCTTTGCCTGGATACAACATGAATTCAATGTCAGTTCTATGTTTATGGATCATACCACCAATCCTAGTCCATTATAACTCATGACGTCAATTTACGTGAAATAAAAACAAAAATGATCAGTTCATCAGTATTTTTTTAGGACTCCATCAAGTTTCAAAAGGTAGGTATCTTGAACCATGAACTAACAAGATACATACCAAGAAATAGTCAACTTACCACTGAGATTGCTGTAGAAGCTCATCAGCCCAGCCATGTTGATGTATGATGTATGCCTGTAACACAGTTAAAGCACCTCAGTGATTTTGAGATGGAATCTTTTCAACTTTTGTTCTTGTTAAAAAAAAAACTGAAAGTGAGGTATCATCCAAGTTGGCTTCCAACCTTTAATTGAGACATGTCTCACTCAATGACCTGACCTGGGTACTCTCTTAGCTGTTAGTTAGTGTTGTTAGCAGACGTCACCCGAGCTGCTATATCTATGTCTCACATGTGCAACAAAACAATTGTCTTTTCACGGTTAAAGGGACCCTCCCACCTTCAAAAAAGTTAATGAATTGGCATGAAAGTGATGTCGCTCGGTTCAGAAAGAGCAAAAACGAATATCTACCAAATTTCATCGAAAAATATTCACCGGTTTTCAAGATATTAGACTTTTACTTTTGTTTACTTTTTGGGATCTCCGCTGTTCCTAGCGACTTTATTTGAAAGTGCGGCATTTGTTGCGCGCAAAGCAGCATATACCACCGCGTGCTACCAAACATTTTAGTAAAAGATTTAAAATCGTTTGATCTCTGCTGACGTCACAAATTCTAAGGGGGCATACCAATGCATTAGCCCCTTAGAATCCGAAAACTGCAAGTTTGAAATTCGATATCTCCGAATTAAAGCATTTTTCGATGTTGTGAGTGCCCAAACCGGTATTTTCAGGCCATGGCCACCAATTTGGCTATCTCAACTCAAATCTAATGTTAAGGTGGGAGGGTCCCTTTAAATATATAACAAAACATAATCTAACCTGACCTAACCTTACCTACAACCTAACCTACCAACCTACAACCTACCAACCTACCTAACTGGATATGGCAGCTCGGGTGACATCTGCTAGAGAATACCTTGTCCATCTGGGTAGTGGGTAGTTGGTTAGGTTAGGTATGATTGACCCATTTTTTATGCAATAACTCAAATAAGCATGAAAATGAGATCAAGACGGCACGCCAGTCAAAGCGCAACACGCCTCAAATTGAAACAATTGCAGCGCAGAGGAACAGGTGCAGATTGAGATTACCAAACGCACGTGTTCAACTCAACACACCCACCGAAAGAAGGAAATAGACAAAGCCCTATCCTACAGAGCAAAATTTCTTTTAAAAAAGTATATCGCTCACCTTTTTCAGGACATGCCTAAGAGCTGGACTTTTTGCACGCGTTCCCCGCCAGGGGGCGCCACTGAGGAAGCACCCTCTGACGTCACGATAAAACTGCGCGCACTGTGCGCACGGTTCTGTAAGCAAGTAACATAGTGGTGGTTTCATGGTGGAAATTGGAATAAGTATTTTGACGTTGTAAAATTTCAAGCCGTTTTTGTGAAATTAATTAGTAAATGCATTTCAAAAGTATTTATTTAAAGTGTGAAAGGAGAATAATTAGAAGAACATGGATATTTTTGTTCCAATAGCTTATTATGTGAGACATGATCGGTACTAACGGGTACTTCTAAGAAGTAGTGAAGAAGTACCAAACAGCCTGCTCGGCTACGATCGTCAGCTGTCCTTTGGAGCTGGACTTCAACGCTGTAAAAAAAATATGTGCTGAATTAATTTTTAGTTTCACCAAAATGTAAGCAATTTATCATTTCTTTTTCACTTTTGTAATTTTTGTTGAGTGAAGAGACATGTTGCTAGTTCAGACAATATAAATTATTAATTGAAAAATACGAAAGGCGACGGTAAGTATCTGCTACTAAATTATCACTTTAACCAAATACATTGAGAATCTTGCTACCATTGCTTATAAAACGTGCTTATCAATACACAAATGTTTTATTTCAGACAAGAAGGATTTATTTGCCTGAAGTCTTGCGTCATGTGCTACTGCTTTGACTCCAAAGACGCTCTCCGGGTCGGGGTAATTTAGTTCTTCATCGATCGATAAGAGATTTTGATTCCATTGTTATCCAAATTGATAAGCTCGGCACCATGGAGTAAGGGCGTCCCCACAGGGGTGACGCAGGAAATATGAATGGCGTTTACACCGACAGTAGTTTCCCACAGCCGGCAATGGGAATCTCCTGTCGGTGTAAACGCCACTATAGTCCCATCCAACTCAAACACTGGGGAATATCCCCGCGCACTTTTGAGGACGGAAATCTATGGACCCGCTCGAAAAATAGTGGATAAAATACGGCGAGCTTTCAGTTTTATGGTTGGGTCTCCCTTCCGAGGCACATATTTACGGGGGATATTGGGTCATATTCCCCCGGCGTCCTGATGATCGGCGCCCAGCTCAACGTCGAAGGCGCCCTGATACGCGGCACTGCTATCTGTGAAGGTGCCCAGGTTGCTGCCGCTCGAATTTTGGTCGCCTACTTAACAAAACCTCCGTTGGTGCCATCTCAGTTTCCTCGGGGTCAGGCAACCTTCACACGCCGTTGGCTACCTTGGCTGGCCGGCGACTCGTTCCCCTCGTGGCGACGCTCTTGACATCCAGTCAAAAGTTGGAGTGGCTGGCGCTCCCAGTGGGGGCCGGGGAAGGGGCAGTGGGCCTCCACGTTGCTCTCTTCCCGAGCCTATGGTGACTTGGCTCAACTCTCCTCAATAGAATCTGGATTCTGCACGCTGTATTAACCCACGAGCCGCTGGGGGGGGGGCATAAAGTTGCCCCCCCTTTACGTTTTGTGAAATATCTCCGAAACCTGATGAGCTACGAACGTGAAACTTGGCATAGCTTCAAATGAATACCTAGGCAATGTTTGAGGAAAGTTTGGTGGTTGTAGCACCTAAGATGACGTCACAGTGACGTCATAAAGTTTTGTCGTTTTCCGATATGGACCGTTTCTGATGACGCTGAGCATGAAACTCGACTGTAAATGAACTAGACAGCACCTGCTGTCATCCTAAAACATCATAATACACTTCCATCTAGTTTCTGACCAATAATCGGCCCTTTATATTCGGTCCCATATATGTGATGTATCGTGAGGAATATGAGAGTCGCAAATCTATAATTTCACTTATGACGTCACTGTGACGTCATTTCAAATGGGATCGACACCAAATTTGGACACAACCTCGGCTAGGTATTCAGGAAGATGTGTGCAAAGTTTCGCTTCTCTATCTCTTCGCGTTGCGACGATATCGTCGCAGAAGTAAAGGGGGGGCAACTTTATGCCCCCCCCCAGCGGCCGGCGGGTGGCGCGGAGGCCCAGCGGCCGCCGGGTTAACATGGGCGTAGACACCACTACGGACAATACGGACAGTGGGTGTGACAATCAGTAGTGCCATTCATATAGAGGGTGTCATATATGAGCGGAGAGGCAACAGTACAGCTGAGCGGAGAGACAACATTAAAACAACAGTACAGCTGGCGTTGCATGGAGCTGCAGGCAACCGGACAGCGGAGGCTTGCGAAAAATAAACAATTCGTCACTTCAACGTATAAACAATAGTAAAAGCAACATAAACACATATTCTCATGGTCGAACCCATGCACTAGCGGCTCACGGCGGGCACAGGCACGCAGTGCGGTAGCGGTACCGGATCACACGTCATGGGCGTTGTCTCAGCATAGGTTGTTATGAGCGGAGAGGCAACAGTACAGCTGAGCGGAGAGACAACATTAAAACAACAGTACAGCTGGCGTTGCATGGAGCTGCAGGCAACCGGACAGCGGAGGCTTGCGAAAAATAAACAATTCGTCACTTCAACGTATAAACAATAGTAAAAGCAACATAAACACATATTCTCATGGTCGAACCCATGCACTAGCGGCTCACGGCGGGCACAGGCACGCAGTGCGGTAGCGGTACCTGATCACACGTCATGGGCGTTGTCTCAGCATAGGTTGTTCGCAATCTAGTTGAAGCCTAAGAAGACGGCCAGTGGGGTCTCACTGCTGCTGAGGCGACCTCGGAGACGATGCGTCGCCCCTCCTGTCGGCGACTTGCGGTGAGCAGGACTCCAGATAGCTGGCTGGCACGTTGCCGACACTGCCAGACGCTGTCAGCAGGCCTCACTGCTGCAAGTGATGTGCAGATGGACGCCAGGTGACTTCGTCTGCAGGCGATTCCGGAGACCGCGGCCTCACCAGGCAGTACCACCTGCATCGCCATGTCGGTGTTTCTAGAAATGGAAAAATAACAGTATCGGTGAAGGACAAGCAATACAATGTATTCTGTTTTCCTCTCTTGCAGGTATACGTAATCTACAATTATCATTGTTCCTATTTCATTCAACTGAACCTGAAAATTCCATATTGGCACACTGTTTAACTAAATTTGTGTAGTTGGGACTTGGGAAGCAGATTGTTTGAAATACATGTTTGGCTGAACAATGCGGAAAATATTTCATTGATCACTATAGCTGCAACAAAAATACTGAGACAGAAAACATTTGCGCTTACCTGGCTCCTTAGTCAGTACGGCACAACGGAAGACGGAAGTGGTACCATTTATGGTAAATGTCAAGTTTAAGTCCTAAGAAGATTTCATTGATAAATTTTTCATATCTTTACATTATTTGACATCCTGAATCCAAAAATGATACTCATATGTCTCGCAAATAAAAGAAAAAACATAATCAAACCTGACCTAACCTTACCTACTTACCTATAACCTACCAACCTACAACCTACAAACCTACCCTAACCTAACCTAACCTAACCTACAAACCTACCTACCTACAACCTAAAACCTACAAACCTACAACCTAACCTAACCTAAAACCTAAAATTTTCGCTGTTTCATATTCGTATCAAAAGCGCCACAATTGTAGTTAGGACCTAAACTTGACATATACCCCATTTATCGCAGCCGTCGCATCCGACCATCGGTGCTGCACTGATGCTGCTGCACTCCCCACATTCCCAGTACCTTAGGAACGTCTTGGCTGTGAAAAGATTACATGAGTCATGGCGCATACATGAATAGTAAGATGTTTTATATGTTTAACATCGTGTAGCAAAGAGACAACAGCTGGGAGTCAAGTGTAAGCCAAAGTGTAAGCCCTGCCATGTTTGGCAGACTGGATTTTAAGCAAGAAAAGCTTTGCTAAAAATGACGCTTGACGAAGCCTCATCCTACTGGGCTGTCTGACATGTCTCCCTGTAAAAAGCATGTGGCCCTTATATTGTATATATGATGAATATGTTAATAATGCAGAGAAAACACAGTATAAATTATACCCAACGTTTCATCTTAATCGACTTTGTCAAGGGTGTTTGAACAGCTCGAGATGAGTGCAGTGTAAGGTACCTAGGTACATCTGAAAATAAACTGAATCTGCGTTCAATAAACATCGATTTTGATAATACATTTCACAAATCAACTGCTAATAACAATCATACTAAAATAGCACGACAGATAACTAACAATCGCATGAAGAACTTCTTGATTCGCCTTGACATTGTCGTCCGAACGAATGTTGTCTGGTTCAGGGTATATTGTCTGGTTACACATTTGTCTTTTCTGCGCAGCATTTGTGTTTGCCATTTACCGCACCAATGTTCGCCAGCGGTGGTGACTTTTCCTTACCTGCTCACGAAACGTCACACACGACATGACGTCACCCGAAGACGTCATCAAAAAGTCCAGCTCTTAGGCGTGTCCCTTTTTCAGACACCTGTCTTATATAAAACCGCTACCTCTTTGAAAATGCGCCCACACCAACAAGGCGAAGAAAAATACCGTGCGACATTCAGCCAAACTGACACTGCCTTCGAAACCAGACCGAATATCTGCTGTGAGATTTGCAGGAATCACTTCAAAATTATATGAAGGAAAATCATCCAATGCAATTAACATGCCGATTCGATGCAAATGAATATGCATCATAAATTTATATTACGAGCGGCTGGGGGGCATGAAATTGCCCCCCTTTACGTTTTGTGGAATATCTCACCGAAACCAGATGTGCTACGAACGAGTGAAACTTGGCATAGCTTCAAATGAATACCTAGTAGCACCAGGGCATATTTTAACATACTGACTGCGTCCCATTTTGGGACGCAGCCCCCTGCCTTTGGGACGTAGCCCTCGCGAAATTTGGACCACTGCGTCCCACACTGAAATGCCACGGTTTCAGCCGAAAAGTGCGAGCAAAAATAAGTAACATGCCTCGGTCTTTTACTGTGTAAAAGATGTTGGCTTTCCGATTGCTTTGTGCCCTGATTTACTATGTACCTAAGCACATACATGCCCTCTCCAGTCCTTGTGCCCTGCCCTACCCTTGGTCATACACCTTATTATGTTCTTCCCTACTATACCCCTAGGATATGTGCCCTGCCCAGTGCCCTGTCCTTAGGTCTTTTACCTTGCCCTGGCCTTTCTTCAGGCCCTGTGCCCCGCTCTGCCCTGCCCTCAAACATGATACTTTATATATTCTGCCTGGAAATTTGATGCGCTGCCTTCCCGTCTTTAGGCTCCGTGCCCTGCTCTACCCTAGTTTGAGGCCCCGTGCCCTTCTCTGCCCTCAAGCCTTGTACACTTGTCCTGCCATCAGACCCCGTGCCGCTGCCTTGTCTTCAGGTACTGTGCCCTGCCCTGCCATCAGGCCTTGTGCCTTCCCATGTCCTCATGCCCCGGCCCCGCGCCCATCCTCGAGCCTAATGCCTTGCCCTGCCTCAGGCCCTGTCCTGTCATGTTCTGCTTCCAGGCCTCATGTGCATTGCCCTGCCCTTAGACCCTGTGCCCTATTCTGCCATTAAGCCTTATGCGTTGTATCGCCCTCAGGCCCGTGCCCTGCCTCGCCCTAAGTTGCTGTGCTCTGCCCTGTCGTCAGGCCTTGTGCCGTCCCATGCCATCAGACCCTGTGTCCTACTCTGCCCTCAAGCCCTGTATTCTGCATTGCCCTAAGGTCTCGTGTCCCATGCCCGCCCTCAGGCGCTGTGCCCTGCCCTGTCATCAGGCCCTGTGGTGTCTCCCGCCCTCAGGTCCCGTGCCGTTTCCCGTCCTCATGCCCCGTGCCCTTACCTGTCCTCAGAACCCGTGCTTTGTTCTGCCTTCATGCCCTGAGCCTTGCCCTGCCCTCAGGCCCCATACCCTGGCCCTGTTTCACCGGTGATAGCAGCACGCTGCTATTACACGTGTCAAATTGGGTTTCCATGGAGACATCAACAGGGCCATTGCTCAAACACTACCACAAGTATGACGTCAGCTCGCGGAATTTGATAGCAGCGTCCGTGAAACACCGCCCACGTCTTGTCATACCTTCGGGGCCCGAAGGTATAGTATGACAAGACGTGGGCGGTGTTTCGGGCCTTGTGCCATACCTGTGTCTTATGTTTTGCTCTACCTTTAGGTACTATTTCTTGCCCCGCTCTAAGATCCTGCATGTTGCCCTGCCATCAGGTGTGTTGATCATCAGGTGTTCTAAGGCCGCCTGTGTCTTGCACTACTCTCCGGCCTTGTGTAATGATAGCCTCAGACCTGCGCCTTGCCTTGCCCTCGGACCCTGCATCCTACCCAGCCCTCAAGTATCCGTCTTATCTTAGCTTCATGGCCTGTGCCTGCCCTGTCCTTAGGGCTCAGACTCTGTGTCCTGCCCTTCCCTAAAGTCCTGTTTAGAGATGTCAAGTTGGAGCCCGCAGGCCCGGAGCCTGGCCCAAAATCCGGCCCTACAGGGCTTTTGCATGCACAGTGGATTGTATCATTGTTTTGAGGTACCTCATCGAAACGCATCGACTGATATGCGACATGATCTATCTTGGTCACGAAATGACCTTAATGTGAGGTCAAGTTCTGACCTTGACATTTCGAGGTAAAAATGAGAGAAGAACGATCGTGCAAACGAAAATTCTCTACCTTTTTTTAGTTCAAAAGCTTTTCATGAAACCTATATTGACAAAAATTGTAATTTTACTCGTTTTTGGCTATGGAGCCTCAACCGTTGATCTCAACTCAATTCTGACGAAATATTGACGAAAGAGCTGTTCAAGATATATCGATTGCTTTTCTCCTATCGATTGCGTCCTCCTAGCTATCATAGTTTTTGAGATACCGGCACGTTTTCCGAAAAAATATCGCATCATTGCGAAGTTTCACATTTGATGGCATACGGTCAGATCAGGGCCGTCATGGCCGTCTGGCCATAGGAGGATATAGAGGGGGCCACGGGGCCATGCTCCCCCCCCCCCCCCAAAGCGCCCGGAAATGGCACAAAATCGACACATTACTGGGCATAGTAATTAAACAAAGGAACTTCCATTGGGAAAAGTTTGGGTTATATTACATGATAGGCAGTAAGGAAGCGAAATCCGAAGCATCCAAAGCATCCGTTCATCTAAAGCATTAATCTATGATGGATTTTTTTTTTGTGTAGCTTTAAAATCCGATGATTTCTTGTCACAACTTAGGTGGGTACTGTTTGACCTTACGTCATCTAATTATTTCAAACACATAGTATCTTCAATGCAAATTGGCAATGTTTCACACGTCAACCTCTATTTTGAATCGATTGATAAGGGTGAAAAACGCATGAAGAGACGTATGTATCACATTTTAATCATGTGCATTTTCATTTTTATTCTCTAAGCATAGGTACAATTTGGTGCTTCAAGGGGGTCAAATACGCCCAACGTCGTTCAGGAAAACGAGTGACTAACAACAATGTAAATGTCATGAAATCGCCGGTCCGCCCTTTGAATGCGGATAAAGAACGCACTACGACTGGGCGAATTTCGAGACTGGCCAAAAGCAATCACAGCCCGCTCCCAATATCCCGCTTGCAGTGCCCCTCCACCAGCACAGCACACAATGTATCTGTACATTATCTCACTTGCATTATATACTATTTCGCTTGCAATGTGCCCTTTCCGATCAAAGCATGTGCCCTATGCCACCTTTGGGACGCAGTGAAAAATCCTTAAAATATGCCCTGAGTAGCACTTGACCTAGGCAATGTTTGAGGGAAGTTTGGTGGATGTAGCACTTAGAATGACGTCACAGTGACGTCATAAAGTTTTGTCATTTTCCGATATGCGGACCGTTTCTGATGTCGCTTAGCATGAAACTCAACTGTAAATGCACTAAAAAGCACCTGCTGTCATCCTAAAACAAGTAGGTACCTACACTTCTGACAAGTTGCTGACCAATAATCGGTCCTTTCTATTCGGTCTCACCATATACCAATTACCACCATATAATAGTGGTCTATGGTCTCACATATCGCCCGTCGGATATATCGTGAGGGAAGTGAGTATCCCAAATCTATTATTTGACTTCTGACGTCACTAAGACGTCATTTCAAATGGTATCGACAGTCGACACCATATTTGGTCTCCTTGGTTAGGTATTCAGGAAGACGTGTGCAACTGCAGAGTATTACTTCTTTATCTCTTGGCGTTACGACGATATCTTCCCAGAAGTAAAGGGGGGAACTATATGCCCCCCTCAGCAGCCGGCGGGTGGCGCGGAGGCCCAGCGGCCGCCGGGATATATACCTACATACATACATACATATCTTTGCCTGGACAAGATTCCTATAGATATGCCTGGATACAACATGAATTCAAAGTCAGTTCTATGTTTAGAGATCATACCACCAACCATACTCCATTATAACTCATGACGTCAATTTACTTGAAATAAAAAGCAAAATGATCAGTTCATCAGTATTTTTCTAGGACTCCATCAAGTTTCAAAAGGTAGGTATCTTGAACCATGTACTATATATATATATATATATATATATATATATATATATATATATATATATATATATATATATATATATATATATATATATATATATATCCCGCGAGTTGCTGGGGGGGGGGCGTTAAACGCCCCCACTTTTTTCGCCGGGCCATAGCATAAAAACGGCGCGCCGCAGGCGCGCCAAAATTTGGCGCGCCTGCGGCGCGCCGTTTTTATGGCTACCTGTAGGGAATTGATTGAAATTTATTGTGACAAAGTTTCAAAAAAATCGGTTGGAAAATTTTTGAGATATCGAGGTTTTAGTGACGTCATGATTTCTGAGTTTTCGACCAAAAACGGCATATGTTCAAAAAATCATATAAAATCACATAATAGACATACAGACATGCCGTAAACGCCATTAGACTGCCAATACCATGATCAATCAAATGGCTATCTTCGATTATTGATTATCGTTCCGCATTTTCCATAATCTTGAACTGAATCTTGGTAATTTTTCGTGACTACTTCACGACCATGATACATGCATTTCTTAAATTGAACTTTTTGAGCCAAACACGTACACATATGATAAAATGAATGTCACCATCGTGTTCTACGCCCCAAATTACCTATAAAACATGTGTCACAGGCTGCGTATATCAGCTTTGATTTTCGGGGATATGTGCCTACCCGGTTGACCTGACCTTGACCCTGACCTATGCTTGACTGACCCCTACATGGAGCTGACACTCTTGTAAGCCTTATATGATGGATTGTGCACCGTTTGGACAGAGTTTATGACGAGAGGCGCCCATTGTGAAGTCCTGAAGTCCATGCTACTGAAAGCCCGATTTCAGGTGTTTGACCTGACCTTGACCCGACCTGTGACCTCAAAATTCAACTTTAAAGTACTCGTCTGAAGCGTCTCGTCGCGCTCTTTCGTTTGCCGCCTCGTGCGTTTCGCTGCGCCTATTGGTTCTCGAGTTATCGGCTGGGGGCGTTTAACGCCCCCCCCCCCCCCCCCAGCAAACGGTGGGTGGCGAAATACCCCAGCAACTGCCGGGTTCTAGTTCTTC